CCCCAGCCGACCCTCCATACAATTTCCATACTGTGATGTGGCCCTCACACCAAAAAGTTTGCCCACCCCTGGGCTAGGTACTATTATCCAAACTTCATCCACCTTCCACTCTAAGTACAAGGCATACTTTTTTGACCTTGCCTTTGCTAATATAAACTATGAATGTGTAATATATTTTCTAAACTCCACTAACTAAACACTACACTGCACACACAATTTTCCCCCTGGGAAGAAGGTGAGAGACAGAATGCTGCACACATGAACAGATGTTAGTTATACTGCTTAATGTACTACTGGAAAACATTCAGAGATACTGCTGTGATGTGGGTGTTACAAGAATCTGAACAAAATAGAATTCTCATTTTACAGCTGAGAAAACAGAGGCATGGAGAGATTATGTGACTTGCCTGATGTCACACAGTAAGTCTCTGTCAGAGACAGGAAAGGTAATCAGAGCACCTGACAGTCTTGTTCTGTGGTCCCACGACCACCCTTTCCCTGCATGTCTGCCTGAAATAACTCAGATGGAAAGGAAAACAAAAATGATGGGAAAGGATTTATCTATAATCAAACTTTTCATGCAAGTGTATTCTTCTTTATCTCCTTTTGCCACATTAGCTTTCATTTACTAGCCCACTATTCTTTTTCCTATGTCTACAGATCCAGACTTTTAATGTTATTAAGGACATGGAATCTAGGATGATTAGAAGAGCATTAGACTGATTAAAGAACTCAGAAAGACAGCTTTTTGTTGGTATGTATAAGAATGAAAAAAGGAAGGAAATAGAACTATTCAGTACCACAAAAACAGTTCCATCTTAGAAAATTACTTAGGCCCTGATCCTGCAAACACTGAAGTACATATATAACTTCATGCATGGGAATATTCTAACTGACTTCAACAAGACTATTCGTGTGAATAAATGTATGCACATGCTTAAGTATTTGCAGGACTGGACTCTTAGGACAAAATTCTGGCAATTACAGATTCTTTACAGTAACTAAGATAAAAGTTGTAGTTTGAACAATACAGAGACAAGCTGAGCATGGGATGTCATCTGTGAAAAATCCTGTTAACCTGAAGTCCATTCTATGGATGCAATTCTTTTTGGGTCACTTGAAAATTTCTCCCCAAAGGATATGAGAAACTCCCAAAACTCCTGTCTCCTTTTATTCAAAACGTGCTGAGGGTTGGAAATTCATCCCAACAAGCAGTTCTGAGGTGAGACATGACATATGGCAATGCCTGTGAGCATTTATATAACACAGATAGCAGTGCTCAGTATAAAAATACCATTCATCTTATTTGGGAATTGGCTATTGTACAAATGATCAGGGTTCAGCAAAGACCAAAGGGGAAGAGAAAGGAAAGGACAGAACCAAGGATGGAGTAAGAAAGAAAGAAAGAACATACTGATGGAGAGAAGTTATCGATGATGGATTACCAGCTTCATCCTGTTTGTTTCAATGTAGAATCTTGCACCTATTGATGCAAGAGCCTTCTCCTCTAATTTCTTACCAGCTGGAACAACTGCCCTTTTCCTCTGTCTCACCAATTCCATCCTTTTTCAAATAGCATCTTTTCCACACTTCTTTCTCCCTCTTGATATCGTTCTCCCTCTGCTACTCTGAAGCTCTCTTTTTGTATATAGCAATAAGTAATTCTGTAAATATGTCATTTATATTATGGTCGAGCACTGATTTTTGCAAAACATATCCATAAATGTTTCAGCTGTGGTTGAATTTCCAAGGGGAACAGTTTACATTTAGAGCAATAACATCCGTTTGCAACCCAGACACCACAGCATCCTACTAAGCATACAAAGACAAGAAAACAAAACTGATCAGAAATTGACTTCACAGAATTAAACTGATCAGCCTATTTTCATTGACCAAGCTAAATGTACTGAAAAAAGAAAAACAAAGCATGAAAATTGAAAACGATGTTTTTACTTCTTTGTTTTATTTAATCGATGTTCTTGTTTCAGTAATCCATGTTATTTTTAGAAACCAAGGGTGCTATTAATTATACTAATTAAAGTATTAATTTTGTACCTGAGTGTCCCTTCGTTAAGGCCTGATCCTGCAAAGTGCTTCACATGGACTTCAAAGGGGCTCCTCTCAGGAGCAAAGGTCCCTCATGCAGAGCTCCCTGCTAGATCTGGGCCTGAAGTTATAGGGGCAACCACGCAATGACTCCCAGCCATGATTTAACCACCAGGAACCTCTTCAGAATTTGGGTATGGAATGTTACCATGGGGTACCATAATGGGTCATCCCCAAATTCACAGGAGAGCTCCTTTTTCTCAGATGTTCCCAGTGTGTTGCAGAATAATTAGACAGTCCTGAATTTAATGTTCTCCAATTTTTCCAGTAATTAATAAACCTCAAACCCTCTCTCTCATTAACTTGTGTTAGGTGACAGGTTTGTCTCTCCTGCCAGGAGTTCCACGCACTCAGCTGTGACAGATGCTGTTATGTGGAATCCAGATATCGCTCACTGTGTGGAGATATTATGATGTGAGGCCATAAGCATTGGCCTGTGATGTAGATACCATGACATGGGATCCCAGAAACAGATAAAGTCATGTAGGAATGCAGGCAGCAGGCCATGAATGTGTGACATGAGAACATGGGCGCTGTGCAAAAAGACACAGAGCCATGCAGGGATGAAGGTGCCAGGCCATGACTTGTGACATGGGAATACGGAAGCCATGCCACAAGAACACAGAGCCACGCAGGGATGCAGGCACCAGGCCATCAAGTGTGACATGTGAACACTAGCATACAGTCATGCAGGAATACACGTGTAATGGCGACAGACCCCAGTCGTTGATGGGCGGGATTCTGGAGCTTAGTGCATGAGCCTCTACTGCATGAGCTAAAAGCCAACTGGCTGTTATTGAGTCTGCTCTACAGCCTTAGCTCTCTCTCTTTCTCATCTTGGTGCCAGTAGATGGGACAGAACACCACACTGAGGTGATGTGTGGGTTATATACTTCCCCTAGCTGAAACTAGGTTGAAATCCAGGACGAGCCCCCACTTGGAACACCGACAGACCCTGGTCGTCAGTAGGCGAGATCGAACACCACTAGATGGGACAGAAGACCACACCCAGGAGGTGTGTGGGTTACACAGGCACCAGGCCATCATGTGTGACATGGGAACAGAAGGCCACAGAGTCACGCAGGGATGCAGGTGCCACGCTGGGATATGTGACATGGGAACAAGACACAGAGCCACGCAGGGATCCAGGCCCCAGGCATCATGCATGACATGGGAACAGGAGGACACAGAGCTACGTAGGGACGCAGGTGCCAAGCATTATGTGTGACATGGGAACACGAGGACAGAGCCACGCAGGGATGCAGGCTCCAGGCGTCAGACAGGAACACAAGGACACAGAGCCATGCAGAGACGCAGGCTCCAGGCGTCACACATGACAGGGGAACATGAAGACACAGAGCCACACAGGGACGGAGGCTCCAGGCGTCACACATGATATGAGAACACAAGGACACAGAGCCAAGCAGGGACGGAGGCTCCAGGCGTCAAGCGTGACATGGGAACACGAGGACACAGAGCCATGCAGGGACGCAGGCTCCAGGCGTCACACATGACAGGGGAACATGAAGACACATAGCCACACAGGGACGGAGGCTCCAGGCGTCACACATGATATGAGAACACAAGGACACAGAGCCAAGCAGGGACGCAGGCTCCAGGCGTCAAGCGTGACATGGGAACACGAGGACACAGAGCCAAGCAAGCACGCAGGCTCCAGGCACCACACATGACATGGGAATACAAGGACACAGAGCCACACAGGGATGCAGGCTCTAGGCATCACACGTGATATGGGAACACGAGGACAGAGAGCCATGCAGGGATGCAGACACCAGGCATGACATAAGGAACACGAGGACACAGAGCCACGCAGGGACACAGGCGTCACGCGTGACATGGGAACATGAGGACACAGAGCCACGCAGGGACGCGGGTGACATGGGAAGACGAGGACACAGAGCCACGCAGGGACGCGGGTGACATGGGAAGACGAGGACACAGAGCCACGCAGGGACGCAGGCGCCAGGCCTGACATGGGAAGACGAGGACACAGAGCCACGCAGGGACGCAGGCGCCAGGCCTGACATGGGAAGACGAGGACACAGAGCCACGCAGGGACGCAGGCGCCAGGCCTGACATGGGAACACGAGGACACAGAGCCACGCAGGGACGCAGGCGCCAGGCCTGACATGGGAACTCGAGGACACAGAGCCACGCAGGGACGCAGGCGCCAGGCCTGACATGGGAACACGAGGACACAGAGCCACGCAGGGACGCAGGCGCCAGGCCTGACATGGGAACTCGAGGACACAGAGCCACGCAGGGACGCAGGCGCCAGGCCTGACATGGGAACACGAGGACACAGAGCCACGCAGGGACGCAGGCGCCAGGCCTGACATGGGAACACGAGGACACAGAGCCACGCAGGGACGCAGGCGCCAGGCCTGACATGGGAACTCGAGGACACAGAGCACGCAGGGACGAGGGCCAGGCCTGACATGGGAACTCGAGGACACAGAGCCACGCAGGGACGCAGGCGCCAGGCCTGACATGGGAACACGAGGACACAGAGCCACGCAGGGACGCAGGCGCCAGGCCTGACATGGGAACACGAGGACACAGAGCCACGCAGGGACGCAGGCGCCAGGCCTGACATGGGAACTCGAGGACACAGAGCCACGCAGGGACGCAGGCGCCAGGCCTGACATGGGAACACGAGGACACAGAGCCACGCAGGGACGCAGGCGCCAGGCCTGACATGGGAACACGAGGACACAGAGCCACGCAGGGACGCAGGCGCCAGGCCTGACATGGGAACACGAGGACACAGAGCCACGCAGGGACGCAGGCGCCAGGCCTGACATGGGAACACGAGGACACAGAGCCACGCAGGGACGCAGGCGCCAGGCCTGACATGGGAACACGAGGACACAGAGCCACGCAGGGACGCAGGCGCCAGGCCTGACATGGGAACACCCGCACCCTGCAATGGGGACACAGAGCCAGGCTCCAGGCCGTGCCTTGGGGACACCCACGCCCCAGGGATCTGGTGAAACTGGCCGCATCGTCCCCAAAGCGGGGCGGGGGCGGGGCGGCGACTGGTGCCACCCCTGCCTGGTCCGAGGCCTGGGCCGCAGCGGAGCCCGTGTCGCTCCCCGCCCCCGCAGGACGGGAGCGGGGGGGGTGTCTGCCCGGCAAGAGGCGATCACCCGAGGCCGGGGACGCGGCCTGCCCTGAGGGGACGGCGGGACCCGGCTGAGCCGGGCTAGCGAGCGATGGATCCCGCGGCGGAGGAAGCCCGGCACCTGGGGCTCCGCTTCCAGCGCGGCTTCCTGGCCGGCAGGCAGCTCGGCGCCTTCCCCTGGGCGGTGAGTAGGAGCCGGGCGCCCCGGCACCAGCCCGCGACCCGGGAGTGGATGGGGAGAGGCCGCTCGCTGCGGAGAGGGGGCGGCAGGGGCCGCGGGGAGGGGCTGCCTGGGGCGGGTCCATGTGAGGGGCGGGCGGCAGCTGGGTCAGCCTGGCCCCGGAGTCCAGGGCTACCCAGTCCTGGCCCCGGAGCCGCCCGGGCCTGGTGATCTGGGGCAGCCCAGTCCTGGCCCCAGGAGCCGCCCGGTGCCTGGGCTGGGTGATCCGGGGCCCATAGGTGCTGCTGCACCCCCTGACTTGAAGTGGTGTCCATTGTATACAGGGTTTACAGGTTGGTTCAATAGCTCTCAGCTCCCCCACTCTACACACTCTTCCAGCGCCCCTGTGTGGGGCTGCCCAGTCCTGGCCCCCAGCAGCAGCAGCCTCCCCCTTCTCTGACTCCTCTTACTGCGTTCGCCCGTGAAGAGTGCAGGGCTGGGGCGAGCCCGGCTAGCCAGAGCCCTGCTTGCCGGCTGTGCAGACACCTTAGCTGCCCGCTCTGCCAAGCCACCTCTGGCCTGCCGTGCCACTGGTACAACCTCAGGGCTGGAAGGGACCTCCGGAGGTCATCTAGTCCAACCCCTGCTCAAAGCAGGACCAACCCCCACCAAATCACGATGTTCTGGAAATGGGCTGCCCCCTGATGGACCTGCAGCTCCCACCTGGTTTATTGCTACTGTTGGGAAAAGAAAATTAAATGATGTAAAAATTCTCATCTCATTCAGCAAAATAAGCTCCTTTCTCCTACTTGAGGTGAAGCTGGTGGGCTGTGATTTTGAGACCTGTCATCTTTGAAAAGTGATCCTGGTTTCAAAATCAGAAACAGTTCTGTGAGTAGGGGCACTAAAATGGCTTTTATAATGGGGCTGCCGAAAACCATTGAACAAAAGCCCTTTAGGTGCATTCAGTTGCTATTGTTACTGCAAGCTGGCCCTCCTGGTTGCTGTGCTCTGTGGGGTTGTTTTTTAGAGTTGGGAAATAGCCATACAAAAGTTGGGTTTTTTTAAGGTGTGCTGGTGTCACTAGTCCCAGCTGTTGTCCTAGCAGAGAGGAAGGATGGTCCAGGGATTAGGACACTTTTCAAGAATTTGGGAGACCTGGGTTCAATTCCCTGCTTTGCCACAGACTTCTTGCGTGATCTTAGTCAAATCACTCGGCGCCTCAATGGTGATAGTACTACCCTACCTCCTAGAGCTGTTACAAGCATAAATGCATTAAAGATTCTGAGGTGCTCATAAGTACTTAAAGTAAATTGGTGTGCATATCTCTGAGTTGAGGATTTTTTTCTAGTAATTTAGTGTTCTGAATGAGTTGATCATGAGACACTACACAACTGTCATCAACATCAACAGCTTTTCTCTTCACTCCAAACACTGTTGATCACACTGAGCACTCATTGCATTGGACTGTTTGTACCTGGAAAAAGCCGACCAAACTCTGCTCACTATAGAAGTATATCTTAAGCAAATGTTATATGGGTATTTAAAAAAAGAAAAATACCCATTAAATTAAAAATGGAAAGAACCTGAAAGAAGTGCCTGGCACACCTGGATGTCTTAGGAAAAACTAGAACTGTACCAGTGAAACCAAGATATATGGTCACTATGTTTTTGCAGCTTGCTTGGACAGTCTGCCTATTCTTCCTCTTTTCAGCTTTGCTTTTATAGCATCTGAGGAATCTGCACCACAGAAAGGCCTGGGATTGTGAAACAGATTCTGTTGGATTCATGAGTGAAACAGCTCTGATTTCATTCCATAGAGGGCAGTGACATGCACACACTAGCCAACTCAATAGCCTTATTTTACTTTTTTAAACCTAGGGTATGTCTTCATTACCCGCTGAATTGGCGGGCAGCAATCGATACAGCAGGGATCGATTTATCGTGTCTAGTCTAGACACAAAAAATCGACCCCCCCCAACACTCTCCTGTCAATTCCTGTACTCCAGCGCCGTGAGAGGCGCAGATGGAGTCGACGGGGGAGCAGCAGCAGTTGACTCACCGTGGTGAAGACACCACGGTAAGTCGATCTAAGTATGTCCACTTCAGCTATGTTATTCTTGTAGCTAAAGTCGCATAATTTAGATCGATCACCCCACCCCCCCCCCCCCCAGTGTAGACCAGGGCAGAGAGAGAGAGAGTGTGCGTGTGTGTGTGTCGCCTCTTTGATCCCGTGGAGTTCTCCATAGGCCTATAAACAGTCAGATTTAAAAATTGTATTAAAGCTAATGTTAAAAAATTATATAGTACACAGGTTAGGAAAAGAGTGTCTGTACATCTGGGTATAGTTCATAGATTATCCACAAATACAAAGTTTATTTTAAAAGTCATAAGATACATATCGCGCATAATCAGCAATAACCCAAATGTAGATGAATATATTTAACAATACATTTTAGATATTAGCATCCAAGTATTCGGGTGCATCACTCATGAAAAGTTGTACAGAGAGTTGGTTGTGGAAAGCAAAATATACCAATGAGTGAAGATTGTCCCTCAGTAATTGAGAATTTAGGGTAGGTTGTCCATTAGAAAATACAATCCATCAAGGAAGTATTTCAGTTACTTTCCGATTTCACTTTTCATTGGCACTCCAGCTCATCTCTCCTGGTATTGCCGATGTCCAGTGATGTGTTCTTTGTAGATGTTCCTCGACCACCTGATGGCATCCAACACCATGAGTTGCCGCATCAGCTGGGCATAGCGCTGACTAATTCTGCATTCTCTCAACACTCGCTCGTTACTGGGGTCCCATCCGCCCCGGGCTCCGACGATCAGCACGTGTGTCTGAACCTGGTAACACTTAGCTCTCAAGCTTTCGGCCAGAGGGGTGTATTTTACTACTGTGATAAAGAACCATCTACACCAGAAGTACCTACTTAGGCAGACAGCTACTAAATTGTGTTACGCAAAATTCTTCAGTCTCTAAACTTTCTTTTGTATATGAGAGAGTACTGGCAAAATAAGCTTCTGTTTTTGATTGGCTCAATTACTTATGATAACATGTTTAAACTTATGTCCTGGACGTTTGTGAATTTAGCCTAATTTCAATGGTTGGTCCTTTTAGTATAGCTATTTTGGAATTCTTCACATTTATATTTTCAACCTGTTTAAATACTGACAGAAACATGTGCAAACTACTCCTTCTCAGCACTGAGTGAATCAACATTACCAACAACCAAATGTTTCTAACTTTAAGATGATTAAGTAATGTTCGGAGACCTGTTATCAGGTGTCATCCATGGCTCACCATTATAGTTTTCATGAAATTTAAGCCAAATTGTTGACCCTACTTTTTTTCATTTAATAGTTCCCGTTATCTGTGGCTAAAGCACAGCAGCCAGACAGATTCAGAATAGTCATGTTTGTTGCAGGCACTAATACACTATTTTAGTGAACAATTTATTCACTTTCCATGATTATTCACTAGACCAACAAAACACTCAGAAAGTAAGGATTAGGCAATTTCTCGGGAAAGTTATATATAAATGTAGCCTTCACCTTTGAACACTGTGGACACAATTTGATCTGAAATATGCTTACAATTAACTTTGCTGGGAATAGTAATAATTACAAGATGTCTGATAGTAAATATGCATCTAAAATTTGTCTCGGGTCTCAACATTAACTATAAGGTATACAATCTAGAATATCCCCATATTTACAGATATTTAAAGTTTATCTAGTACACAGCAGAATTCAGAGGATATGGGCCCCATCATAGCTGAATAGTCTGATTTGTCAGAAAGTATTTAAGAAATATGCTACTGAGACCCAGAGATCTAAATCAACCCTTAGTTCACTGTGACAGACCTAAAGATGGGTTTGCTCCTGAACTCTGTGAGTAGGGGGGCTTAGATGACTCTAAGAGTTTGCAGTGTGAGACCATCATTAAGGCTAAAGATTCTTCCAACAAATCCTAGGAGCTGCCACATCAGATATTGAGATTTGAAGTGAAAAGTTGTCAGGGCACTTTCATAGTCTCCTTACTTTTATTTTGTAGATGACAGAAAAAAGGTAAATTAAGTATAGTATCCTCACAGAAGGGCACAAAACATAGGATTCATGTTGTTCTGCCATCTATCATCAGAATGAAGAGACAGGAAAAATCCAGATGTGTCTTAAGAATTTTCCTTTCCATTTCTGTTATTTGACATAGAGAAGGAGGAGATGCAAACCTTGGGACCTGTTCAGCACATGCATGGGCCAGATGATCAAGCAATGTAAATCAGTTTTAACTCTATTGATTTCAGTGTAGCTAGTTTATACCAGGCAACAATCTGGCCCCATATACCTCAGTAGTGACTCCAAATATTAAAACTAAAGATTGTTGACTGCAGTGATTCTGCAACAAAATCCCTCAATTTACAAGCTAATTCCACAGTACAAATAATGCTCATTCGGAGGATTTTTTTTCTTTCCTAAAATGGCTGTGCTTCATGGTCTAATTCATCTGTTCATAGCATCGGTATTAGAGCAAAGCTAATTTCAGAAAATCAATTCACCATAGAATATTTGCAGTATGTTCAGAATGGTGCTTTGGCAGCTCCTGTTATGAGTTTATTAGTATAGAATAAAGAATGCCTGAGTTTAGCAGACAGTGGGTGTCACCACTCATTCCTCTTGAACCCTCTGTGTTTCAGTTGCAATGTGCTGTAGTGTCACTTTTCAGACATCAGCCTCAATATACATTGACCCTTTTGCAGTAAAGTAAGTTTTTTCTCAGAACAATTTCCCTGTAGGAGGATTTGCAGTTTACAGACCGCAGTGTTTTGAAACAATTCAGGACATCTGTTTACTTCACTATCTAGTGAGTTTTACTACTGTTGATTTCACCATTTATACGTTCCTCTGTGAACCATTTTCTCAGCATTTCAACCACTAATGAAGGGCCAAAAACCCACTTGCCTTACTTGCCTTATTTACACAAATGGTCCCATGGACTTCAGTGGAACTAGTCATCTGAGTAAGGTGAGCAGGTTTGGCTAGAAATGGATCAATGAAAAAAGGCTGAAGAAATATAACTGGCCACTGAGGTTATATTGAAACAGCACTCTTGGTTATAAGATTTCTGTTAAAGACAATTAATGCAATAAATCTATGTGGGGGATATAGTGTCTAGCAACAGGCAGATTTTGTTCTTACTTCGATGCCAAGATTTCCAATGTCTGGAGAGATACTCAGCTCTCCTCTTGGAGAAGGGAAGATTTAATATTTCTCACCTCATTGGGGTGGGAGCTTTGTACATTAGTGTGGGAGGGCTGACTGATTAGTCATCTGGTCTTCACCTTTGTTTTTTACTTTCCTCATTCAATTAATAATAATTATGTATTTGTATTGCAGTAGCAGCTATATACATTATAGATTATGTTAATATTATGGCTTACAGAAGGCTCTTTATTACTTCTTTATTTCCTACCATCTGGGTGTGATTTATTTATTTTTAATCACAAAGCAAGTAACATACTCTGTTAAAGGAGTTTTCACCAGTTTGTGGTGTTCACACGTGGTAATGGAATAGCATCCTGGAATATTTCTCAACTTTTTTCCCCTCCTTTTGTGTAGGAACTTGAAAAAAAATTAAAGAGTTCATCAGATGCCTTGCTACTACTGGATATTTTGCAGAAGGTAAAATATGTTATTTTAATATAATCAGATTTCAATACATATCATAGAACAGACTAGAACTATTCTAAAGATACGATGCCACCTAGTGTAATGAAAACTATTGCATCGTATTCTTTTTAAATTGTATTTAAAAAACAGTAAGGGAGTCAGATCTAATACTAATCTCTGTGTTTACCAATAGAATAGCAGATTTTCTTTTATTCATGTTATGTAACTATCCTTCATAGACAAGGGAGTTGGAACACAAGAAACCCATGTTTTTATTTATTTTGAAATTTGAGAAATGGTTAGAGACTGTAGTGTTCATGCAAAATGTCAAACACTGAATTTCCCTATTGATTCATAGAGGCAATATAGTGAGAGGTGCAGCAGTATAAACTTCCCAGAATACTCCGCCAGTGTGCTTTAACCTTGACGTGAGGGGCCATCTCTAAGGATAAGAGGGTTAATTCACTCTCCATTCCCATTCAGTCCTTTGCTGCGTCTGAGGCTACAATAAGAATGCCAGCTAGTACCAGTTTAGGGGCGTGGGATGGGTTGTGATGTGAATTCTGTTCAGTAGGTCTTGGGCTGAGACCATTGTCTCCTTTCCCATGAGTAGGGTCCTACCAAATTCACGGTCCATTTTAGTCAATTTCACAGTCATAGGATTTTTAAAATAGTAACTTTCATGATTTCAGCTATTTAAATCTGAAATTTCACAGTGTTGTAATTGTAGGGGTCCGGGGGTGGGGGGTTGCAAGATTATTATAGGGGGGGTGCAGTACTGCTACCTTTACTTCTGTGTTGCTCCTGCTGGTGGCTCTGCCTTCAGAGCTGGGCAGCTGGAGAGAGGTGGCTGCTGACTGGGAGCCAGGGTCTGAAGGCAGAGCCTCCGCCAGCAGCAGTGCAGAAGTAAGGATTAGGGATGTAAATAGCATTTTAAAAAATAACCATTTAAACTATTAAAATTGTATCAGCGAAGGTTTAACTGTTAATGAGTTCACAACATAGGTGCAGGAACTAGGGGTGTGGGGGCTGCTGCAGCATTCCCACATTTTACCCAGGGTCCCAGCTGCCAGCCCCGCACCCGTGAGTTGGCCCCTGGGGGTCCCAGGGCTCCAGCCCCGCACCTGCCCCCACCTGTGGCCCCGGCCTCATCCCTCTTACTGTTTACTGAATACATTATTGGTAAGACTAATGCTTATCAGTTAACCGGTAACATTTTACATCCCTAGTAAAGATGGCATGGTATGGTATTGCCACCCTTACATCTGCACTGCTGCTGGCAGGGCGCTGCCTTCAGAGCTGGGCACCTGGCCAACAGCCACCCCCTCTGGCCGCCCTGCTCCGAAAGCATCACAGAAGTAAGGGTGGCAATATCACAACCCCCCTAAGCTAACCTTCTGACCACCCCCCTGCAATTCCCTTTTGGGTCAGGACTCCCAATTTGAGAAATGCTGGTCTCTCCCATGAAATCTGTATAGTATAGGGTAAAAGCACACAAAAGACCAGATTTCACAGAGGGAGACCAGATTTCACGGTCCATGATGTGTTTTTCATGGCCGTGAATTTGGGAGGGCCTTACTCATGAGTGATAAACAGTTGTGATATCTTCTAGCACTGGCTGGATCTGAACTGGCAACCTGGAAGTGAAAGGCTGTTCATCTCTCTCCCAAATCTGTGAGATTGCTAGTCTCCCACAGTCGCCTTTTAATTTAAATCGGAACATACAAAAAGGCAGTAATTGCTTTCAGTGGGCTTGTGCCCTCTGATCAGTTGCATTAAAACAGTTACAACTCTGTCTTATTTTTTTAACTATCAAGTATTGGGCTTTTAAAGCTGGTGGAAAGTTTTCAAAATAGCAATTAATTTTCAATACAAAAAAATAAAGAAAAAGCTCTAACTTCAATTTTTCTTACAGGCTGTTTGTGACATATATTGTCTATTGACTGATAGTGTGTCTTCGTGTGTATGGAAATAGGGTACTACATCCTCACGTGTGGTACAAATACTGGGAACACGAAGCTACTCCCATTTCCTGTCTATCACGTGATTGCAGTTCACTCCCTACTTGCTTCATAAAGGATAGAATATCAAGTACTTCTCCACAGTCTTTAGTATCAAATTCTTGTCATATTGTCACAGTGAACACCTCCTTCTGAACAAAAGTGTGTTCCCAACTGTGGGGCACAATGGGTCTCAAGTCCTGTGTACTGATCGCCTTCCACATGTGGAACCCCTGACTGAGATGCCCACATGTAGGGAGAGCACAGCTTTGGAGTCAGGGTCCATCATGCCTAGCCGAGTGCAGAATTCAGCCTAGGCCACTTATATAAAGGGAACTGTAACTATTAAGAGTAAATTAAGGGACCTAATTCACCATAACATAGTTGTTGGGGCTAATTGAAGAGCTGAACTGACCTAACTTGCCAACTTTTCATTTGCTGGAGGACCAGTGTGACTAACCCTTTCTCAGTGAACATTGCCTTGATTCAAAACAAAGGGTAGACATGTGTGGGGAGAGTCTCTTTCCTGAGTCCAGGATGGAGCTAGAGTGAGTATATGTACACAAGCTGGGAATGGCTCCCAGCTCCAAGTGTAGATGGAGCAGTCCTGTTTATTTATTTATAGGGATGGGGCCTGGAAGAAAAATGAGAGGAAAGAGCCACTCAGACTCATTTTCCTTTCAATTTTACTGTTTATTTTTGGGGGGCAAAGTAGAGGATGTGTGGCTCCCTCACATCTGTGACCGGCTGGGGGTACCAGAATTCACTGCAGGAATGTACATGGAATTTGTTTTTCCAGTTGAGTTATCAAATAGCTTAGCTGCAAATTGAAATCACCCAGCATTCCCAAGGTACAAAGTGAACCGAGCAAATTGGTAGCTATCTTTTCCTCCCCTGTTCCTTCAGTGCCTCTAATAAAATCCTCACCTGGTAGCTGGTTGGTCTGCAGGTGTTGTTTTATCATTTCAGACTATTCTTCACCCCTTATGCCTGAAATATCCCCCTTCCTTGAAGTACAGAAGATGCTTCATATCTGAACTCATTAAAAAGGTAGTGTTGGGATTATATATTGCTTGGCACTCTTTTTCCATTCAACCTGTTATTAAAAGTAACTTGAAAATATGTTTTTTGCAGTATTGGCCCAGGCTCGGCTGATCATTTGTTATAACAAAAATTAGCATTAAATGCATATGTTATGGTTAAAGATGGAATAAATGGTATTTGACTATGTGTTCATTGCCTGTGTTTCGTTAATAATATCTGGAGATCTGAAGTTCTTCACTGATCTCTCTTCTCTTTCCCACAGCATGAGTCCGTAGCAACCGAACCCCTGGATGAATTGTATGATGTACTAGCAGATATTTTAAATAAAGAAGAATCTACCAACTGTTATAAAAGCTACTTACTGGTAAAAGCTAATATCATCTTCATGGTTATATGTCCTTTTTTATCGTTTAAACTGAGCCATAACTGGTTTAAAAATAAAACCCAGAAACCCCAAGTGTAAAATACTTCTTACCTTCTCCCAGACGCTAATGTTGATTTAAAATTGTGAAATGTGGTGGCCATGCCAATGCATCTTTCTTTCCCTGCGTGTGTTTTCTAGCCCACAGGAGACTCTGTTACACTTTCTGAGACGGTGGCAATAATCTCACAGGGAACCACAGGACTAGTCACGTGGGATGCTGCTCTTTATCTTGCTGAATGGGCAATAGAGAATTCTGCCATTTTCAATAACAGGTAATGGAGCTCTAGTTACATGAAATCACAGCTAGAAAACTGGGGGAACAGAGTTAACTTAAATGTTTTCATTCATATTATAAATGAGTTACATGACAGTAGTTTGACATTATACTGTATATGCCCCTAATATAACTAAGAACTGTAACAATGCATATTTTTAAAATCCTAGACAAAAACTCCAACTCAGGTATCCATAACCCTCAGGGGAGAGGGGGGGAGTATAAATTTCCCTTGTCCAAAACACTTTTAAATCATCAAGTAATAAGGAAATCATAAAATACTTGGCAGTCCAAGGAGGTATAACTAGGAGGATAGTATGAAATTTAACAAGATAACATTTTAGTCTGGATATATGCATAATATACCGCAGGGCACAGTCCTGTATTGGTCCCCAGGAGATGTTAATTTTATTCATATTTTCACTCTCTAATTGCTATTATTATAATTGAATCCTAATTATTTTTCATTCCTGATACTTATTTGAAGCAAAGACTGGAATCTGGGTAGTTTATTCAAGAATCACTGAAATCATTTACAGCTAGTTTCGCTCTTAGGTGCATACATTTCTATTGGTTTTGATTCCGTAACTGAATCTTGTCTAGATCCATGTGTAAATACTGATTTTAATCCATTAACCTTCAGGACTGTCTTGGAATTAGGAAGTGGGATTGGCCTCACAGGAATTGCAATCTGTAAAACCTGTAATCCTAAGGCATATGTGTTTAGTGACTACCATCACTGTGTTCTTGAGCAACTGAGAGAAAACATCCATTTAAATGGCTTTGTTCTGGAGTCTGAAACTGAGAATCACACCAAAATGCAATCCCAAAGCCAGAGGGCAGAAGTGATGGATTTACAAGGACCAAAAATAACAGTTGCAGAACTTGACTGGGATTCTGTTGCAGAGGAACAACTTTCAGAGCTTCAAGCTGATGTTGTCATTGCAGCAGGTACAGTACATTTCTGATCGCATCTCACTGTGATGAAATAACAATAGAAATGCAAAAATAATAATTACTGAACTTTATTCAGTCAAGATGACTGGTCAGTCAACTGCAAATTCTGAAATGTGAGGGGTGTAATTCTGCCTTATTTTACCATTCTGTCTTCATCTCAATATTCAGTGGTTGTTTACTCATCCTTGAAAAGCAATTTATTTCTCTTTTGTCACTTCTTCTGTTTTAAAATTGGAGGTGAATTCCACGTTTCCAGAGCACCGCTGGCTGGCACTCTCAACAAGGATAGTGCATATTAAAGAAATTTTACTTTTACAGCACTTGCTCATCTGATAATGTTAAGGAGTTTAATAGTAAATCTAATAATACTAAGTCTAACAATACTAGGGGCTTGTCTAGACAAAGTGTGTGGCAAGCGGGGGTGTAAATCTACAACATGCACTTACTGTGTCCCTACTACCACACACTAAAAGTTCCCAAGTGAGCTTTGATGTACCCCGGTTTCAAAGTCAAATACAGCGAAGTGAACTACAGAACTTTTAATGTGTGGTAGCAAAGTCCACATGGCTAGAGGGCAGCACACTCTGTGCAATGTAGAGTCACATGTCACCTTGCCACACACCAACTGTTCTTCTAGACAAGCTCCAGAGCTGCACAGATGTAGCTGAAGGCAGAATTTCAGCCCATTTTTTGGGTGTGTGTGAACTAAGCAAGCTGCTTAAGAGTTCAGGTGAGGTGCTGAAAGGTGTGTGAGGACTGATACAATGTATCACGTGTAGACCATTAGCCATAAAAAGATGTTTATTCCATAAAATTAATGATCATAGATATCTGATCTATTACACGGGGCTCTGAAAACAGCCTAACTTGAGCTCATAAAAACAAGGAAATTTAAAGTTTAGGATAAAGTGTTATGCTCGGTATGTCTAGATAGCACAGTTCATATTTTTATTAGGTTAAATCCAGTGTAACTGATCTCTTTGACCATTGGCCCATACACAGGTCTTGGCTTTTGGATGCCCTAGTTGTACATCACAGGGATTACACTGAAATGACCAACTCCTGAACATCAGGGCTCATAACTGAAAGACCAGTAGAAAATTGCAGAATCAGAATGTTAATTTGTGAGATTGACACTTGTGATACTTCAAGGGGCAGTTTTTACATTGTTTCATCAGGGTTTCCACCCTTAGAAATTATTCCAGAATCAACCAACTGTAATTTAACTCCTGGCCTTTGCAATGAGGTGTTGCAATGTGAGCTGCTTTCAATTCAGTTGCAACCTGAGAAGGCCAAATCTGTAAAATCCACATGTGCAGACCATTTTTCCCCCTTCACCAGCACTCTGCATAGTAGTAAGGGTTAAATATCCTTTGCAGGATCAGGGCCTAATTTTCTTTTTACTTATTTGTGCACCAGCTTCACTGAAGGGCAATTCAGTAAAGTGGAGAGGTCTGTTTAAAAAAACACTTCTTAAAAATCCTTTGATAGTTGGAATCTGGAGTGAACCTCTTCACCCACCAGCATTAAAGCAATCTTTAAAACAGGTTGTGATAATCCATCCGTACCAGCACTCTCTCGCGCCTCAGGTACGCACACTTGCAGGCCCCACCAGCCACCACAGCAGTTCTTTCAACCCAATGCCACTCCAGTCAAGGCTCTTCTATCGGTTCACAGGGTTATCACCTCACCCCGCCCAAACATCAACAGAAAGTCCATGAGGAATAACATGAAACAGCCTCATGTGATTCCTTTTCACCCACTGTTTGTCCCAGCCTTTCCGCAGACTTCTACTCTTCTTCTCCCTGAAGGGAGGACGCTAGCTCTTTGATAGGCCCAGGGCCTTTGCTTCCTGGCATCTTCTTATCAAAATAAACCTTTAATAGTCTTTGCCATCCAACACAAACTCCTAAAAGCTCAGCCGTGCCAGAACCCCTTATCCAGACAGGTCTATCTCTAGTGCCAAGGAGAACTAGCTAAATCCTGCTTGTTTTATATTATCTTCTCAGGCCAGGTCTACGCTACAGACCTAGGTCAGTATAACTACATCGCTCTAGGGTGTGAAAAATCCACACCCCTGAGCAACGTAGTTATACCAACCCACTCCCCCCTGTAGACAGTGCTATGTCAACAGGAAAGCTTCTGCCGTCAACATAACTACTGCCTTTCAGGAAGGTGGATTAACTACGCTGATGGGAGACGCTTTCCCATTGCCATAGGAGTGTCTTCACTGAAGAGCTACAGCAATGCAGCTGCACCAGTGCAGCGTTTTAAGTATAGGCCTACCCTCAGTCTCCACCCCAGCTGAGTGTAATAAATGACTCGTCAGTCACAGGTACATTCCCTCTGGTCTACATGGGCTCCCCTGAGGAGCTGGTCCCTAGTCATAGGGGCTGGTCCTGGTTCCCTTTTTAAAGGGCCATGTTCCCATAATACAGGTCAAATTCTCATCTTAAATTACTTGACCGTGCCTCCATTTAATCCTTTTATTTTGTATTTTTAGTCTGCTTTTTGTTTTGTTTATAAATATACAAACCCTTTCCTTTTTATGTAGATGTGGTGTATGATCCCCAGATAACTTTATCCCTTATCGGTGTCCTGCAGCAACTTTCCATTTCCAAAACTGTTGGAAAACCACCTGAGATCTACATTGCCTTCACAGTTCGTAATCCAGACACTTATCACCTCTTCCAGACTGAACTCGGTAAGAGTTATGCTGTATATATGCCATGATAGGTTTGGACTTCTTCCCAGTTACTTAATCTTGTTACAGAGCTGAAGACAGCAATCTTTGATGGTGGGCATTGCTTTAGTTAAGGTTCCAATACACCAGCTGAATCCTGTGGGGTCTGAATAGGAGAAATGATCTGCCCCCCATAGAGCTGATTTCAGGAATGGGGCCTCTTTTTACTGTGTCCTAATGAGACTAATATTTGCTACATTGCCTCCTCAGAATGAATTGCAAGCTTGGTGACCGCTAGCCAAGCAGATAATGAGGGTTAATAATAACAGTAAATAATCATCTGTGCTCTAATGTTGTACAGGTAACATTCCAGCTGAACCCTAAAACTGAGGCTTTGACCATATAGACAGGGTCATATACAATTAAATTGTGGGCAGGGGGAGGGAGATGTTTGGGATTTCCCTCACAGCATCCTCAAAATCTAGACTTCTACAGAATACAAGCTGGATGTTTGGTCCTTCAGAAGTGGGTAATTAATAAAATGATGCTGAATATATGGCACAAGCATGTAATAGAAATCTCTTTAAATTACTTACCGTGAATATTTGTGTCTCTTGCTTTCACCGCCTACTAATGATCCATTATTACAAGATTTGGCACACGGTAGTATGTATGTTTTGTATTTTACAAAGCAAAAGAGTGATTGTTATTATTTCTGTTTCTCTCTCCAGATAAAGTTGGGATCGGATGGCAGGTTGTTCCTATTCACACAAAGAACCTTTTCCTATATGACCTGCATTCAAACATAACTCTTCTAAAATTACTTGCGTAGACTTTGTAAATCCAATATTACTACTAGACATTTTGACAGACTAAGCATAAGATCTATCATGATCATGACAATGACCTTGAATTCTGGACATGTACTTGAGTGGCAGACTCAGAAAGCAAGTTTAAGCTCTGTACGTTGTCAGTGTGTTTTAGGCCCCAATGCTGCAATTGATAGTGGGTGAGTGGACAGCCTCTCCTGTGTGCAGCCCTGCTGCCTCCAGTGTGATTCCTTGGGAGTCCATAGGTTGTCAGGTGCAGGAATGGGGCCTCATTCAGACTGAGATTTTATTCTTCCAGAGGGCACAAGGAAGTAAACTGTAGTGATTCCATGGTGGTGTGATATGCACACATTAGAAATAAGTTTTGTGACACCAAAAACAATGACTCTCTTCCCGGCATGGTGAAATAGAGCAATGAACAATTTAAGTTTATATATTAAAGAATAATTTATATTTGCTATTGTTTTTGAGCCATGATCTGTTCGTTCAGACTTTCTGCAGTGCTTGTCTTCCTGTCACAACTTGAATAATAGAATAGCTACAATAAATGCATTGCTGTTTATACAGTGCCATAGGTTTGCCTGGTTTGAAATATAAGTCAGGGCGTCAGATTCTGATGTAAATCAGAACTAGCTCCTATTTTACACTGGTGGACATGTGATCAGAATCTAGCCCTGGGGCTCAGTCCTGTGCGGCATGGTGTTCTCTTGGGAAACACGGAGCAGCATCAGCTCTCACTGAAGTTGATGAGTTTTAGGCTGTTCAGCAACTTGGAGCTTCAAGCCACATATTAGACATAACACACCTGAGGAGTCAAACAAACAGCAGGGGATGGGGGAAAAAGAAGGGCAGGGTTTGAATAGAGTCAGAGCCATTTATTTGTTTTGTTGTAGGTGTGTCATAGTGGTTCCAGTTGGGGATGGGAAGGAAAGTTAGAGCAGGGTGGGAATGGAGTAAGTTTGGCTATAGAAGGCCAATTGGAAGCAGGAGTTCTAAACATGGGCTATGCAGGAAAGTGAGGATATTTTGCCCATGAGAAGATGGAGACTGTGCCAGACTCGTGGGGAGAGGGGCACAGGGGGGGTTAACATGACTGAGGGGCAGGTAGGTCTATCTTTGGAAGTATCCTATTTTAAAATTCTATGATCATATAGACAATAAGAAGATCCCATTTCCTTTGCACCACACCAGAAGATGGACAGGTAGTGGACTCAGTGAGCCTCCTCCTGCTAATGGGAACTAGGTCAAAAGAATACATTTTCAGCAGGGAACACTTAAACACATACAAAATTTAAGTGCCAACAATATATTTCCCTCCACTACCCAGCCTCCCAAATCTGCTGCTCCCAAGGAGAAAAGACAGACCCTTCAGCATTCCCTAAAGATCACCAAACATGGGCTACATGGGTCTCAGGGGAAGGAGCAAATTCCAAAAGCAACAGCCCCTCCTGGAGAATGCCCTCCAGCAGCACTCAGAGGGTCCATTTAGGATCAAGACCCCGTTGTGTTAGGTGCTGTACAAAATTTTACAACAAAAATATTTAAAAATCTATTCAACCTTTGCGTCTCTTCCAGGACCAGCGTTGCAGGTTCAGCAATTCCCCTCCTGTCGCAGATGGCATCGCAAATATGGGGTAAAGAACGAAGCACCTTTCCCCACCAGCAGGCGTAAGACATGCCTTCTCCCATTGTCATGGAAACCAAAACCCTCAACAAGGGATTCAGCAGATAGCATTTCAGTTCCATTTTAAATATTTACTGTCCTGAGAATGGTTACAGTGACTGCACCTCAGGGAATTCTCTTGTGATTAATTACGGCTTTTAAGATCCTTGATTGCTGGCAATGGCTTCACCTCAGCCCTGGTCTACAAGAGGGCGGGGGATAGATCTAAGTTACGCAACTTCAGCTACGTGAGTAATGTAGCTGAAGTCAATGTACTTAGATCGACTTACCGTGGTGTCTTCACTGCAGTGAGTCGACTGCTGCCACTCCCCCATCGGCTCTGCCTGCGCCTCTGGTGGCACTGGAGTACAGGAGTCAATGAGTGTGCTCGGGGGTCGATTTATCACGTCTAGACTAGACACGCTAAATCAATCCCCGCTGGATCGATCACTGTCCGCCGATCTGGCAGGTAGTGAAGACATACCCTCAGAAAGCTGTTTACGCTCCTTTCTCAAAATTTAAGCTGATATGCACAGATGGAAAGTTGAATCCAGGAAGGAGATAAAAGGGGATAAAACATATCACTGAGTGGGGCAGTAAACACTTATCTTCAAGCTCTCTCACACCCCAAATTTAAAATCAGCTTTGCTGTTGTCTATCATGCTGGGACCTTCTATTGGAAATCCCCATCTGGAATCTTTCACCACTACATTCTCTCAAAAAGAAAACACTCTGACAAATGGAGGACATGAATGATATGAAGAAACATTTCGCCCTTGACACTTTTTTCTTTTTAAAATAAAGTATGTATCAACTCCACCCAGACTCTAATCTTCCACACTTCAGGATACTGATATATATATATATGCACATATACCGGCAAACAAACACCAACAGGAAGAGTGCTTGAGCCTGTTTGTAGGAAGAGACATTCCAAACCTGGAAGAGAAAACCATTTGAAGACCTGGCCAGAGGGCCAAGTCAGGAGGAGGACACTAGTTCCGGGAGCGAGAGGCCCTGCAGAGCTGAGAGAGAGAGGAGTGACAGTGTGCAACTGCAGGAAGGGACGTCGACCTTATGAGCTAATCTCTAGAGTGGCCAGAACCAGGCACCATCCCTGTGCTGAGTGGACCACCCTATCACAAGGCTTAACCTATTTCATTTTTACATCAGAGAAAATAGGATATTCCCATCACTCTAGGCAAAATTCTGGTTTTAAGTTGCGTATATTGGGTCTTCAATGACACTTTGTCTTTATTGACTCAAATGCTCCATCCATTCATTGGAATCAGTTTTCGATGGAGACTCTCCAATCTGCAGGGCTGTTTCACTGACAGGAGGGTGAAGATGGAGGGAAGTCATTTTTTTCTTGTTCCAATTCCATAAATACCGTCTCTGACTTTTTCCTTATTCCCCATCACCTACATCAATACTCATCTTCAGGAACCAGGCCAAAGACCACTGAAGTACAGTAGATGAAAATTCATTTATAGATTTTTAAGGTCCAGAGACCATTAGATCATCTAGGCTGACCTGTATAGCACAAACCATAGAACTGCACCCAGTCACCCCTCAACTGAGCCCAATAACTTGTGTCTGACTAAAGTACATCTTCCAGAAAGGCACAAGAGACGGAGAATCCACCACTTCCTTGGGTACTTGGTTCCAATGGTTAATCATCCTCATTGTTAAAAAATTGTGCTTTGTTTCTAACTAATGTGAATTTTTTTGGTTTCAGCTTCCATCCACTGGTTCTTGTTACGCTCTTCTCCGCTAGACTAGAAACTCCTTTAGTAACCCAGTATTTTTGCCCCTGAAGGTACTTAAACACAAAGCAAGGGCTTTGTGGCAGCATTTTAACAGGGCTGTGTAGCTGCAGCACCAGCGCTGGGAGAGAGCTGCGCTATAAAAAACCCACCTCTCTCAGCACTATAAAAAAAAATCCATCTCCCCGAGGGGAACAGCTACCAGCGCTGGTGCACTGTCTACAGTGGCACTTGACAGTGCTGAAACTTGAAGCACTCAGGGGGTGTTTTTTCACACCCCTGAGCGAGAAAGTTGCAGTGCTGTAAAGTGCCTGTGTAGCCAAGCCCCAAGTCATCTCTTGAAATGCCTCCCATTGACTTCACTGGGCATTGGATCAGGCCCGAGGCTGGAAAGTTATATGCAGTGGAGGCTCCTCAGGACATGCTGGGTTGGTGCTGGGTGCTTTGCTTTGAGTCCGACACATCAAGATCTTTACTTGGATGCTACGCATTTGTTTTGACTTCTTCTTCCTTAAAAGATCTAGTTTCCCCTGTCCTCCCTCACATCTCAGCAGTCAACACTGGGCATATGGTAGGGAATGAAATACACTAGCCTTAGAACACTATCTGCTTTCTAGGTGGCTGTATGCAATCTGGAGACTTGGCACAAGGTGGGGGCACTTCCGGGGGGTGGAGGAGTGTGGAAATGAGAGCAAAGCAAAAAGTGAGGCAGAGCAGAGGTGTATGTACACCTAGATACACTGGTGATGTGGCATTATGGCACATAACTATTTCATCCCAGTTTTTTCATAACAATAACATCATAAAGAGCATGTGAACACCACCACCATGCATGTGTGATAATACCAGCAATAAAGATATGTTACAGAGAATGAACATCCAGAAAGCTGATCTGGCATTATGTGCTGTACAAACAGCAAGAAGGATATTGTACAAGCACAGCCAGAGAAAGACTTCAAAAAGCTTGGGGGTTCTGCTACCATAAAGATATAAAAGGAGATATTCAACATTTTCCTGAGGAAGAACAGCCAAGAACATAAGTTATTTTAAAGTTACATTTAAAATAGAATGTTTCTTTATGAGCAAATATTCTTATTCAAAATGAAGAGTGTCTCCCGTTCATGTGGAAGAGCCACCTGTAATTACCCAGAGCAAGCAAAGTGTTCATGCTAGTGACAGAAAATTTAAGCATTATACCACATGTAAAAATCCACAGGAAAGCGACCTTTGTGTTTAAAACTGAAATGGCAAAACTCAGAAAATTCCAAGTTTAGGATTCCTAAAGCAGCCTGAATTCTTCCCCCTTGTATAAGAACATCAGAACAGCCATACTGGGTCAGGCCAAAGGTCCATCTAGCCCAGTATCCTGTCTTCCAACAGTGGCCAATGCCAGGTGCCCCAGAGGGAATGAACAGAACAGGTAATCATTAAGTGATCAAACCCGTCGCCCATTCCCACCTTCTGGCAAACAGAGGCTTGGGACATCATCCCTGTCCACCCAGGCTAATAGCCATTGATGGACCTGTCATCCATGAACTTATCCAGTTCTTTTTTGAATCCTGTTATAGACTTGGCCTTCACAACATCCTCTGGCAAGGAGTTCCAGAGGTTATTTCCTTTTGTTTTAAATCTATGTCTTTTAATTACATCTGGTGACCCCTAGTTCTTGTGTTATGAGTAAATAACACTTCTTTATTACTTTCTCCACAATAGTCATGATTTTATAGACCTATCATATCCCCCCTTAGTCATCTCTTTTCCAAGCTGAAATCACAGTCTTATTAATCTCTCCTCATATGGCAGCCGTTCCATAACCCTATTCATTTTTGTTGCCCTTTTCTGAACCTTTTCCAATTCCAATATATCTTTTTTGAGATGGGGCGACCACATCTGCACACAGTATTCAAGATGCGGGCATACCATGGATTTATATAGTGGCAAAATGATATTTTCTGTCTTATTATCTATCCCTTTCTTAATGATTCCCAACATTCTGTTCGCTTTTTTGACTGCCACTGCACACTGAGTGGATGTTTTCAGAGAACTATTCACAATGACTCCAAGATCTCCTTCTTGAGCAGTAACAGCAAATTTAAACCTCAACATTTTGTATGTATAGTTGGGATTATGTTTTCCAATGTAC